ACCTTTGACAGTAAAGGGATATAAGGGTTTTGCTGATTCTGAGCTTCACTGTTATCAGTACTGTTATGAAGACAATTCCCTAGCTTCAACTCTACAGACTCGGTTTAAGAGCAAAACAATTATGAGCATCTTTTCCAAACAGAGCTGTCATAAAGAGGTCTTTCTTTAAAAAAATATAATTCTATTAGTATTGATAAATATGTGTTGAGGATAAAATTGTTGTAAACTCTTCATACATGTTGACTTCTGCAGACAGCTGCTGTTTACCTACCACTGACCTCTTCTTTCCTTCCCCCTTTATAATAGAAGCTCAGTTTTACTTAGGACAAACAAGTGATCTGCTGAAAGTTGATGTTTTTCAGCTTCCCAGATGGGCATGGCCATATGACTTTGTTTGGGCCAATGAGTTGAAAGTAAAAGTGTTGTGTGAGGTCTCTTCAAGAGCAGAGGCATGTCTTTCTCTTCCTTGCTTTGTCAGTGGGCCTGATAGATGGCCTTCCAGCAGCCATCTTGGATCATGAGCTCTAGGATCATTATAGGGACAGAAGGACAGAGAACTCCAAAGAGCCTGGGCTCCCAAGGACTGTGCAGAGCAGCCCTGCCATCATGTACTATCTGCCTCCAGATTTATTTCATGAGGGAGAAAAAGAGATCTGTATCTGATACAAGCTACTGTCATTTGGAATTTTCTGTCCTTCCCAGACAAACCTACTTTTGGTTGTTATGTTTCCATATTGCTTCTGAGCCTCTGAAGCAGAAGCAACAAATACTTTCAAGGCACCTCTTTTGGGCTCAGGCAGCATTAGAGAGCACCGTCACCTCAGAGCCAATATGACTTACACTCAGAGACTGCAAGGATAAATTTCAGATGGTGAGGTAGGGAGTATGAATGAAAATTCCTTTTCTTTTTCCTTTTTGGCCACTTGGCAAATGGCATTGCTGTGTTTGCCCTGCCATTACCGATGGAGGGGTTTGTGAGGCCAGTGTTTTCCTAGGGTGGCTTCCCCGATGACTCAGTGGGTAAAGAATCTGCATGCAGTGCAAGAGGCACAGTAGACTCAGGTTCGATCCCTGGGTTGGGAAGAGTCCCTAGAGGAGGAAAATGGCAACAGACGACAGTATTCTTGGCTGAAAAATCCCAAGGGCAGAGGAGCCTAGGGGGTTACAGTCCAAAGGGTTGCAAAGACTTGGACACGACTGAGTGACTAAGCATGCAAAAAAAAAAAAAAGCACAGGTTTCATAGTAGCTTTATCAGTCTTCAAAGTAGTCCTTGTTTCAAGAACTCGCTCTGCGAAGTAAGCCAGAAAGATAAAGACCATTACAGTATACTAACACATATATATGGAATTTAGAAAGATGGTAACAATAACCCTATATGCAAAAAAAGAAAAAGAGACTCAGATGTATAGAACAGACTTGTGGACTCTGTGGGAGAAGGCGAGGGTGGGATGTTTCAAGAGAACAGCATCGAAACTTGTATATCTAGGGTGAAACAGATCACCAGCCCAGGTTGGGTGCATGAGACAAGTGCTCGGGCCTGGTGCACTGGGAAGACCCAGAGGGATGGGGTGGAGAGGGAGGTGGGAGGGGGGACCGGGATGGGGAATACATGTAAATCCATGGCTAATTCATTTCAATGTATGACAAAAACCACTGCAATGTTGTAAAGTAATTAGCCTCCAACTAATAAAAATAAATGGAAAAAAAAAAAAAGAACTCGCTCTGTACTCAGGATGTGGACGGCCACTGCAGAGGCTGAGCAAGGACTCATTTCTGGGTCTTGCTCTTTCATTTTTCCTTTTATCCTTTCTCCCTCCGTCCGTCTCTCCCTCTGAGTCCTTTGCCCCTACCCTGTCCCTGCCCTGCTTTCTCCATCTCTCTTTCTTTCTCCATTCCTTCTTTCCTTTCTGGAGCAGAAGTGTTTATTTGTGTGAAATGTAATCTTGTTGGGAAAATTGGGGACTTTCTTTTCTTAACAGAAAATATCACCTACCTCATAAACATTGCCCCTCATAAATCAAAGGGGGTCATTTACCAAAAGGAATATTTAGTGAACATTCTCCACTCATCTCCCCTTTCCCAGTCCCCACATTTTCCTCCCCACAGCCCAGTACTCTTATCCATGTCTTGTGTGGACCTGACATATTTGTTGTTCAGTCTCTCAGTTGTGTCCAACTCTTTGTGACCCCATGGATTGCAGCATGCCAGGCTTCCCTGTCCCTCACCATCTCCCAGTGTTTGCTCAAACTCATGTCCATTGCATTAGTGATGACCTGATATATAAATTCAAACACATATTACATCTTCCTTCTGTGATGTCCTTCAACTTGCATTTTTACACTTCATTGTGTGTCCTACAGATTTCCCATGTTAATTCACAGGGAGCCTCTTCATTCTTATTTTTTAAAGCAGTGTAATAGTCCATTTTAAGGAGCTGTCCATGGTCCTGCTGGTGAGCGCTGTGATTGTTCTTAACACCACTGCTGCTGAGAACAGCCTTACACAGGTGTTGCATTTAGAAGGGAGGTGGTAGTATCATCTTCCGGGTGAACGTCTGGAGATGAGTGGAACTGACGGACCACAGCCACGTGTAACTATGCAGATCAAGATCACAGTTAAATCTTTTTTTTTTTTTAAATCAAACCTGTGCTCCCTGCAGTGAAAGCATGGAGTGCTAACCACTGGACCATCAGGGAATCCCCCACAATTATAATCTTGAGTGGAAGAAGCCAGACACAGGAAAATACACACTGTATTATTCTATTTATATAAAGTACAAAACTGGGCAAGACTAATCTTTGCTGTTATATGTCAAGATAGTGGGCACACTTGGGTGGGTAGTGACTGAGAGGGCCCAGGGAGCTTGCAGGGATGCTGGGAATGTTCCCTTTGTTGATTGGATACTGGTTTCATTGATGTGTTCACCTCATAGAAATTCATCAAATCATACACTTACCATGTGTCTTTTTTTATTGTTGAGGAAACCCATGTGCCTTTTTTATATAACATATACATATGTATATAACATATACATATATTTGTGCTTCTATAGATGCAGTTTCAATTCCTGGGTCAGGAAGATCCCCTGGAGAAAGGAATGGCAACCCACTCCAGTATTCTTGCCTGGGAAATCCCATGGACAGAGGAGCCTGGCGGGCTACAGTCCATGAGGTTGCAAAAGAGTCCGACACAACTTAGTGACTAAACAGCAACAACGACAATACATTTTAAGGTACTCCCCATCAAAATTTTAGTTTCTGGCCATCACCATGCGATTGACCCCCTTTATTCATTTTACCCTTCCCCACGTCTACCCCCCCCCCACCCTGGGAACCACTGCTCTATAGTCTGTACCTACATATTTGTTTTGTTTGGCTTGGTTTGTTTTGTTACTTTGCATTCATTTGCTTTAAAATATTTGTTTATTTATTTGGCTATGCCGAGTCTTAGTTGTGGCATGTAGGATTTAGTTCCCTGACCAGGGATTGAACCTAGGTCCCTTGCATTCAGAGCATGGAGTCTTAGCCACTGGGCCACCAGGGAAGTCCCTGTTTGTTTTTTATAGTCCACATAGAGTGAAATCTGGGCTGATAGGGTGGAAAGAAGCCTGTGAAGAGAAGTAGGAACTCAGGGGCTGGGGTGCCAGCCTACGGCAGGGTCTTGAGAGAGCAGGGGTCCTCTCAGTGGTGGATGTTCTGTCCATGATAAGAATTAATTCAATGATACTGCTTTCCTCCTGACACTCCGAGCTGCTACTCTGGGGGAAATAAAACATTTTAGAGGACAACGAGTGGAAATCTAGTTGATGTTTGTCGGACCCTGTGAAGGAGGTGGCAGGCAACCTCTCCCCCCACCTGCTTTCCTCCTCTATCTGCCTCTCCTTTGTCATTTGCCTCCTGCCTCATCCTCTAGGACACTGAGTCCCAGACTTCCATGTCTTGCAAACTCCAGCGTTTCCTTCTTCAGCAGGGGTTTGTGGGGTTTTCCCTGCCTGGTCTCTGCTGATCCAGAGAGTGAGGGCCCCTCACGTGGTGGTCCCAGGGCTGGGAGCCTGCCTTGGACACGGCCCCTCCCATTCTGACTCCCTGACAGCAATGCTGCAGCTGCTCTCCAGGATTTACCTGCAGGAAAACCCACTTAGCCACAGCCAGGGCTGATTAAATTCCTCCCAGAGACTCCAGACTCATGTAAAGAATGCATGTTCCTTCTGGTAGCATCACTTTGCTGCTGCTGCTAAGTTTCTTCAGTGGTGTCCGACTCTGTGCGACCCTATAGATGGCAGCTCGCCAGGCTCCCCCATCCCTGGGATTCTCCAGGCAAGAATACTGGAGTGGGTTGCTATTTCCTTCTCCAATGCGTGAAAGTGAAAAGTGAAAGTGAAGTCGCTCAGTCGTGTACGACTCTTAGCGACCCCATGGACCGTAGCCTACCAAGCTCCTCCATCCATGGGATCTTCCAGGCAAGAGTACTGGAGTGGGGTGCCATTGCCTTCTCCAGCATCACTTTAACCCACCATTATTCACAACTAGCCTCCAGAATAATTGCCTTAAAAGAAATTTTGCCTGCTTTGAAGCTTGCTTTCATTAGAAGGGCCCTTGTGTTAGCTTAGATTGGTATTGTCTGGAGCCAATCAGAACACTGAGCTGCTGATGACAGATGGATCCTTTCTGGTCCCCACGCCCCCTCCTCCATGGAAGGTGGTGGTGGTGGGGCAGATGGAGTCGTGTTTCAGGTAAGCTGGCACGAAGGTATGAAATGCACATTTGCTTCGTGTGGCCCAGAGGAGCTGTCCACCAAGAGGTGTGAAAAGTGATAGTGTTAGTTGCTCAGTCATGTCCGACTCTTTGTGACCTCATGGACTGTAGCCCACCAGTCTCCTCTGTCCATGGAATTCTCCAGGTAAGAATACTGGAGTGGGTTGCCATGTCCTTCTCCAAGGGGATCTTCCTTACTCAGGGATTGAACCCAGGTCTCCCTTGTTGCAGGCAGATTCTTTACCGTCTGAGGCACCAGGGAAGCCCACCAAGAGGCATGCGTGATGTTCATGTGATACAGTTGTAACAACTTAGGTTGGACTTTTGATTGATAGACGGTGCTGGTGGTGGGTTTTTCTGAGCATCCCTCTGTGACACTTCACATTATAAAACATAATATTTACCTTTTATTTGATACGACCTGATGAGCCACTTCTTTTGTGGCTAGTAGAGCAGGAAGACTAAGATACCAGCTCTTAGGTTTGAAACCAACATCTGCCATTTACTATGCAATTTCAGGTGAGTACTTTAAACATTCTCATGATATGGCTTTCCCATCTGTAAACTGGGCGCACTAAGTGGTACCAGCCACATAGGGATGTACATGTGTGTGTGCTATGTCGCTTCAGTCGTGTCCGAGTCTTTGAGACCCTATGGACTGTATTCTGCCAGGTTCCTCTGTCCATGGGATTCTCCGGGCAAGAATACTGGAGTGGGTTGCCATGCCCTCCTCCCAGGGGTCTTTCTGACCCCCGGATCGAACCTGCATCTCTTCTGCATTAGCAGGCAGGTTCTTTAACACTAGCACCACCTGGGAAGCCCACATACGGATGTAGGAAGGAGTAAATGAGTTAATACCTATTAACCACTTGGAACAGTGTCTGAACATAGGAAATACTAAACAAATGTGCAGTGCGATTATTAAAATTCTTTTTTTTTTCAAAGAATGATGAACAGTTGTCATCTAAAATTGACTTGTGACCTCACCACCCTTCTTTACAAACACAGTAAAAGACAGCCCCCTGCACAATGTAGAAGCTTAAATCAGCACCCATATCACTTCTCTTCTTCATCAAGAACTCACCTTGCCAAGGTGAGGATCCCTCTGAAACAACAGGATACTTCAAAATCAGGTCTTTGGATTTCAGCGGACCTGGGCAGATCATGTTGTGAATTTTGTCTCAATCTGCTTCATTTCCAAATAACAGCTCATGATGATCAAAATCACCTTTACTCTCCCTGTGGGTTTTGAGTAACTTGGATTCTTTCTTATAAAGTTTTGTTATTTCCAGGTGGAAGCTTACTTATCCCCTGTGTCCCAAGAAATTACCCTCACCCCTTGGCCACATTTCTGCTGGGAAACCGGAGACTAAAGTCTTCTCCTTGAACGTGAGTATTTGGAGCCATCCTGGAACCTGGGCAGAGTAGAAGTCAGTGGCCACCTTTGGCACATTCTTAGCTGTTTTGAGGACCAGCTGCTATATCCTTTGAAATAAATTTCCAGTCAGTAAACACAAAGATAAACACCCACAAATGAAGATACAAACAGCATATTTTAAATTTATCTATCTCATCTCATTCGTGTCCCAAAAACATTTAAAAGCTAGGGGAGAAGGGATGAGCATTCTGGGGTTGACCCAGCACCCAGCTTTCTGCTTCCTTCCAGCCCCTCTAACCACCATCACATCACTCTTGTAGCCTTTCATCTTTGGGGTAGCCTTTAATGTTTGGTTTTCAAGACCAAACTGCCACCGTGAGAGATCACAGGTGAGAGGAGGGGAAGGGATACCCAGAGCCGACGCTGGAGGTAATTTTGGAGATCACCCCAAACTCAGTCTCCAAGTGCATGAACTCTGTTCTGAGATCTCTGCATATCCATGCAAAGGGGTCCAGGGTGAATGAGAGAAATACAAAATCACCACTAGGCCAGCATTGCAGTAAAAATCTTCATAGGCAAGATCCTTCACTGGATGACAAAATCTGCTGGCAAAAGCTTGAGGAGGATATCTGCAATATTTACATACCCCTCTCCCAATAAGATGCTTGTTCATTACAAATGGAAAGATGGTAACCTGGCCATGGAGACACCAGGAGGACCCCACTTCACCCAGATGGTCATCATCAGTGATGAGACATATCGACTCCATGTCCCCCTGACCTGACATGCTGAACTGAGGGGAACCCAGCTCTGCTTCTGCTTCCCAAAGGGCACAAGTTCAGTCTCAGGAGAAGACATCAGATAAACCCAAACTGGAAGACACTCATAGGCAAATGACAAGTACTCTCTTTTTTTTAAATTAAATTCTCTAGCAGTGGCATGCAGGCTCAGTTGCCCTGTGACGTGTGGGATCTTAGTTCCTTGATGCTTCCCGGTGGCTCAGATGGTAAAGAATCTATCTACAATGCGGGAGACCCAGATTTGATACCTGGGTTGGGAAGATCCCCTGGAGAAGGAAGTGGCAACACACTCCAGTACTCTTGCCTGGGAAATCCCATGGACAGAGGAGCCTGACAGGCTACAGTCCACGGGGCCGCAAAGAGTCTGACACGACTGAGTGAGTAAGACTAACACAAAGGGCTCAAACCCACAAGCCCTGCATAACAAAGCAGATTCTTAACCAGGGACCAGCGAAGTCCCTGACCAGTACTCTTAATTAAAGTTTCAAAGTCATGAAAGACAGAGGCTGAGCAGCTGCTCAGATTGGAGATGTGACACCTACATGGAAAGTGGGATCCTGGAGTGGGTCTGGGGCCAGAAAAAGGACGTTAGTGGGAAAAGTGGCGAAATCCAAGCAAAGTCTGCAGTTGGGCGTCTGGTTCCGACGTTCATCTCCTGGTGGTGCTGCTCACGCTGTGGTCATGGGATAGGTTCGCCTCGGGGGAATCTGGGTCGGGCGCAAATAGAAACACTCCCAAACTCTCCCTGAAAGTAAGGCCTTTCCTGATGACAAAATGTGTCATCGTTTGATTGGTGGACGAATCACAGATGAGCGTATTGTCAAGTGCATCACAGCAGTGCAGGAAAGAACTTTGTATTTGACAGACGTCTTGTCACAGAATATCCCAAACCTCGACTTTGGAAAGCACTGTGGGGAACCCAGCAGTGTTTTCTTCCATTAAAGCTGTCTTTACTCGGGAAAACAAGATGAGCAAAGGCTCATCCCCAGCTTGAACACCCACTGGGGTACTGAGCTGGAGGGACACGGGCAAACGTGTGCATTTTTACTTATTGGAGTATAGTTGCTTTACAGTGCTGTGTTAGTTTCTGCTGTATAACTCCATGAATCAGCTGTAAGGATACGTGTATCCCCTCGCTCTCGAGCGTCCCTCCCATCTCGCCCCTTTGAGGTCGTCACAGAGTACTGAGCTGAGCTCCCCGTGCTATAAATACGGCAGCTTCCCATGAGCGATCTACTTCATGCATGGCAGTGTATTTATGTCAATGCTACTCTCTCAGTTTGTTCCACCCTCTCCTTGCCCTCCATGTCCACGGCCCTTTTTCTACCTCTGCATCCCTATTCCTACCCTCTAAACAGGCTCCTCTGTACCACTTTTCTATTAATAGATTGCACATATATGTGTTAATGTATGATATTTCTTTTTCTCTTTCTGACTCACTTAATTCCGTATGACAGACTCTAGTTCCATCCACATCTCTACAGATGACTCAATTTTGTTCCTCTTAACGGTTGAGTAATATTCCATGGTATACATGTACCACATCTTCTTTATTCATTTATCTGTCCAGGGACATTGAGGCTGCTTCCATGAAACTATTTTGTTTTTTACAAAGTTGGTCCAGAGATTTTTGTAAGATCGCACTCTTCACCCCTAGTGATTCCTGCAGGAGAGCTGAGCACAGTCTCTTCCTCAGGTTCATAGAAAAACCAGAGCTCTCACAGACACGTGAGACCCGTTAGGTGACAAAACCAATGTAGGAAGAAGTCCGGGTCACCCGCAAGAATCCTGGATTCATTGTCAACATATCTCAGAGTTCTTTCATCAAGACAATGGCTAAAGATCTGTGTTAAGAGTGACATTAAATGAACACCTTCAATTCCCATACTGCTGCGTGGGTTTCACAACACTTTCTCATTTTATTTCAGCAGCAGCTGGAGACTGTGAAGGGCCTTTGGGGCCCTGGCTCCTGCCTGGGGCTACCACCACCCTGGCTGAAGGTGGGATGAGAGCAAAGAAACCTGAAATATCCTGGTCCTACTCCTCAAAGCTGCCACTTTTGACCCTCTCTGATTTTGGTTCCACATCAAAACTCTTTATTTCCGTAGAAAGGGTACATATTGTGAAGCTTAAAAAAAAAAGTTGAATTGTGTACAAATGACATGGCATATTGTATTGTTTTACTAAGCGTAATTGACCCATCATAGCTTTTAGGATCAGACTTTATCAAAATTGCAGCAGAATGCTCTACAACGTGGATATTTAGGGTAAAAGTAGGTTTTTAGCACCTGACCCAACCATGAACAGCTTCATCCCGACCATTGCTAAACAGACATTAAAGTATTCATGTAAATTCTATTTGAATAACTTTCATGCCTTGTAAAATCTGAAGAACCTTTGAAATTGATGTGGTGTTAGAATGTTTAAAGAAATAAATTTAAGACCAGCTTTATCAGAATCCATGAAGGTTATACTGTGGCATCAATGTGCACAGTATAAATGCTGGGGGAACAAAAAGGAAAAAAACCCCAAAGAATGGAAAAATTCCTGTTGGATGTCACGTTCCCTGTTTATTATTCTGGGATCATCACGAAAGCAGCATTACCACTGCCGCCTCCTGCTGCTCAGTCTCGGGGTTGAACTCCGCCAGGATCTCTTCCTCCAACTCAGGTCATTAGGAGTAAGGATTCCCAGGAGAAAGGTTGCCTTGTGTATTTTGCATCCTCTGCTTCTGACACTTTAGATTACTGTTGCAAGATGAATGTCTATCCCATTTCCTCACTGGATTCATTAACCCAGCTTCCGCCTTGGTTTGAGCAACCCACCCGCATTGACCAAGTCTCCATTAGAGCTTTCACTTCCGCTGGCCAGGCTGGGGGCACTTGACAACAGTGTTCATAATCTAATTGCCTGGGATCAGGGTGGTAAACTTTGCAAGGATGTTTGCATCAGGAGTGCTCTTTCACGTTGCCTTGTTATTCCCTCCTGTGGCTGATCTCATACCTCATTTCAGCACACGACATCATGTCCCCTGAGGGAGTGACCTGGAGTCGGGAGGGGCTGACAAGTGAGCCCCGTAGCCCGTCCCCGAGCCCCTCACCCTCCCACACGTCCATCCTGCCAGGGACTGGGCTGTCCCTCACTGTCACCAGATGCACCGTCCAGGGAAGAAGGCAAGTCCTGACTAGTCTTGTCCTGATTCCCCGAGGTGATGAAGGGGGCAGCTGGTAGGAGAGAAGGGGTGGCTAAGAAAAGGGCTTAAATTAAGGTGCTCTTCATTTGCAGTTCCTCGTCCCTGAGACGTAGAACTGTATTCCAATCTAATTTCCTTTACAATCTAAATTCATTCTTCTGAGAAGGGTTCTACAGGATTCTGAAGCCTGTCCAAAGGGCCTTTGGTCCACACGAGGTCAGGAACCTGTGGGCGGGGGCTCCAGCCCACCCTCCAGCCAAGCAAGAATGGGGGCTTATGAGTGCCCTGTCCTGTCTCACCCCACCCCACCCCACCCCACCCCACCCAGGTATGTAGTCAGGAATCAACCAAGACTGTCCTAGTATATATCTATTTAAAACCTCTATTTTCTTTAATGGAATTTTACCTAGCCTGTAGCATTTGTGACTGAGGGCAGAAAGTATGTGAAAGGATAAACACACATCCTCACTCCCACTCCATGCCCACCCCTTCCTCACCCCTTCCCCAACCCTTGCTGCCATGGCCATTCATTTCAGAGCAAGCGGAAGGTTTCAAGAGAGCAGAGGTGTTAATTAGCATTTTATCGAGTGGGTAAATGTCTTTTCTCTAACAGAAGCTCCCTCCTAACAGAAGATTGGTGTGGTTCAGATATTCCCAGTCCTGTACGGAGCCTCTGGCCACATGTGATTAAACTTAAATTAGTAAAAATTAAATAAAATGGAAAACTCAGTTCCGCAGACTCACTAGCTTCACTCCCAGGGCTTGCCAGCCAACATTTGGCTGGTGATGACCACACTGGAGGGCCAGATGAGGGGGCACTGCCCTCGCTGCCCACGTAGGCCCCCGGACAGAGGGCCTGAATCTTCCTGCTCACTGCCCATCCGGAGCCCAGCCCAGGTCTGTCCGTCCATTTCGTCCTCTTCTCTCCAAACTCCTTGGTCCTCCTCTGCATGTTTGGCCTTCCCCTCCTGCACCTCGCTGAAGTCCTTTGCATGAAGAGCTGTGTGCGATGGTTCCCACAGGGTGTCCAGTTCCATCGTTTTCAAATGACATGACCCTCACGGCCTCCTTGTGATGCCCTTTGGATTCAGAAGGGCAGGTCAGCCGTAATCAGGGGGGAAACAGGCCCGAGAGAATAACCAATATGTCCGAAGTTGCATGCAGACACCGCCATCTCCTGATTTTGGGTCCAGGCTCCTCACAGTCTGTATGCATCACAGTCACACAGTCCTGGTTTGAAAGACAGGGAGCCCCCCGAGGGCCGTGTGGATACAGGTGGGAAGTGTGTGGGCACCGCCCCCGGGCTGTGTGACAGGCGCAGACTGCTTCCCTCCTTGGGCCTTGGCTTCTCATCTGGAAACTCCAGGGAGGAAATTGCTACGAAATGAGGCTAAGATTTCTTCCACTCGGCCCACAGAAACTTTGGATTAACTTTTTACTCATGGATTACTTTTTACTCTTCTCTCAAATGATTCAAAGACTATTTTAAGATTTCCTGCCCTCGTATTTGGGGTGGCCCCCCATCCAGTGGGCACCATATTGATAATGGAATAATTGGATGATGGATAATAAATGGATAATGGATAATTGATAGGGGCTTTGGGCTTTCCTGATAGCTCAGTTGGTAAAGAATCTGCCTGTAATGCGGGAGACCTGGGTTCGATCCCTGGGTTGGAAAGATCCCCTGGAGAAAGGAAAGGCTACCCACTCCAGTATTCTGGCCTGGAGAATTCTATGGACTGTATAATCCATGGGGTCACAAAGAATCGGACATGACTGAGCGACTTTTTCACTTTTCACCTGGTCACACACTTGGACTTGTCATCTAGGCCTCCCATCCAGGACTTCCTAGAGCAGCAGCTGGTCTCCCTCCCCCGAGAGCCTGCCCACCCGCCCAGTCAGAAGCTGCATTTCTCCAGTCTCAGGGGATTGGTTTTCTCAAAGTCTGCAGAACTCTCATCCACGCCTGGGATAAGGACAAATGCAGCTCAACAGAAACTTGTCTCCAGGGGACCAAGCGGACACAGGGAGCTTGTCAAACCCTCCCAGTTCCCCTCTGGGGAGGGGGTCGGGGGCTCCCTTGGGGTCTGAGTCCATCCCTGTACAGGAGTCCACGCCATCCTACATCCACATCCTACATCATCCAGCCCCAAAACGTGAGCACTTGTACAGACAGCACTTGGGGCTCTGGGATCCACTCCTGACAATCTCATTTTCAAAATGCTCTCTTTAAGACCCAGTCTCTAAGGAGTCATGCTCTGAGGCCCTGGGGGTTGTGACCACGACAAGTGAATCTGGGGACACTATCTGGTCCATGACACGCCGTCTGCACAGCCTCTTGTGAATCATGAGTGGCTTCTGCCACACGTGGACGTCCTGTGTCCTGCGCTCCTGGACCAAGAGTCACCATGAAGGCTGGAAGCCAACTGCCTCTAGGGTGTTTTGGCCCCAGAACCTGCCCCGGGGTGCCCTGCACAGCACAGGGCACCTCCCTGACCCCTCTCAGGGGGGCAGAAATGTGGGTTGAGCTCAGAGATGCTGGGAGTCAGGCTTTCTGATGGGTGAGACCAAGTCGCTGGTCTTGAGGATGGGTCCTGAGGGGGACAAGTGCCGTTGTTCTGCTCAGCTGCCCTGGGCTTGGCCTTGAGGAGCCAGAGTGACTGGGCAGCTGGTATCTAGTCTCTAGGTCCCTCATTACACAGTGGACTGGCTCACAGTTTTCTTGCCATCCCAAGCTCTAGGGGTGGCACCCTAACATCTAGTTAGGATGGAAAGATGCACGAGTGGCGGTCACCCCGAGGAAGAGGCCACTGGGGTGAGTCAGAGGTCAAGGGTAGTCCCCAGAGGCCAATGCCAGTTCCAGGATGAAGGTACCCTGAGAGCTCAAGGAAGTGCAGTGCAGTGTGAAAGTGAAAGTGAAGTTGCTCAGTCATGTCTGACTCTTTGTGACCCCATGGACTATAGCCTACCAGGCTTCTCCGTCCATGGGATTTTCCAGGCAAGAGTACCAGAGTGGGTTTCCATTTCCTTCTCCAGGGGATCTTCCTGACCCAGGAACTGAACCCAGGTCTCCCAAATTGCAGGCAGATGCTTTACCCTCTGAGCAGGGTAGTGCAGTGTGGGGTCCCCTAAATTAGACCCTGAGACAAAGATTCATGTGCAAATAGTTAATAAGGGAGAGGGCCCTGGGAGGACCATCAGGAAGTGGCAGGGGAGATGGAAGGGAAGAAACCAGTTGAGCTGGTTTCTTGAGTAGACCACCACTGCGGGCAGCTGGTGACCCCAGGCCTGGCCGGCATCCCGGGCTCTAGCGTCCTCCTGCTCCTCCTGCCATGTGACCTGCGGTGCTGGCACCTGCAGCAGTCCCTGGAGTCACTCCCTCCATCCAGACCCACCCGAGTGGGACCTTCAACTGTGGCATTTCAGGCTGGAAGGAGCTGGCTGTATGTACTGCTGGAGAAGGGCCGGCCATTTCTGAAAGGTGCTTTCACAGTCGGATTATCCGGTGTCTGAGACAAAAATCCGATTCCTTGGAGTTTGCCTTGTATATCTCCCCCATCCTCCCAACTTTTTAATGTTGGTATATGCCAAGGCCATTCCTTTATGTTGCAGCTTGCAGAGCTAAAGAAACATGGAGAAGTCTGGAAGTAAACACTTAAGTAAAATGCCTTTAACAGTTCTTGTAAATTTCTCAGGTTAAGGAGACCAGCGCCAGCACCAACAGAACATAACTTATTTTCTGTTTCTCACACATCAGGTAGAAGATGGATAATCATTTAAAGATACAAATATGAAAGTGAAAGTTGCTCAGTCCTGCCTGACTCTTTGTAACCACATGGACTATACAGTCCATGGAATTCTCCAGGCCAGAATACTGGAGTGGGTAGCTATTCTCTTCTCAGGGGATCTTCCCAACCCAGGGATGGAACCCAGGTCTCCCACATTGCAGGCGGATTCTTTACCAGCTGAGCCACAAGGGAAGCCCAAGAATACTGGAGTGGGGAGCCTGTCCCTTCTCCAGCGTCTTCCTGACCCAGGAATCAAACCGGGGTCTCCTGCATTACAGGCGGATTCTTTACCAACTGGGCTATCAGGCAAACCCAAAGAGAAGATCCTTCAGCAATTGAAA